TTGCCAGAGATTTAGTATTGTCTGAATCTGACAAATGAATTCTGCTCGTGCCATCTAACGTCGTTGTGGCGCAAACAACATTTATGGGGCTTTTTGTGTCTTTTTGCCCATATATAAAGTCGATACGAGTTAATTGGAATAATAATCCAATATGGTTTCTCAAACTTTTAAAATATTTTTAAATAAAAAATAGTAAATGAAAGTGTAAATTTAGTTAAAAGAATCATTTTACAACAAAAAAATTAAATTACTTGTTATTCCAACTCTGCAGATGAATATTTCTGACGAAACACCTTATGATATGCAATGTTATCTTTGTCAACAATGTGCCCATAAAATTTATATTTTACGTTGGTTGATCATTATAGCAATTATTTCGTAAAGTCCCTTCAAAAATAAAATTACATTTGTTTGCTTTCTCTCTGTTCCATTTTGCCCAGAAACAGATGACAAATTTTAGAATAATAGTAAAAGAACAAATTTCTATAATTAGGAATTAACTGGGAATTTTACCTAAGGTACGTGTTATATGTTGTGATGTAGTTCATCTTGATTCAGACAGTATCCATAATTACTTGCAGTCAAATTGGATCTTTTTGCTCCGCCCTATCCTCATATGTAATGTAAACGCAAACTAGTATAGACATGTTCACATTTATCCCAAACATTTAAAATATTTCAATCCTAATTTCAATTTTTTATAAACATGAATCTGTAAAAATTTACCAACTCGTCGACTAAATTGTCTTCATCGACGTCCTTCTCCCATATAGGTGCGAGTACTTGTGGTCACAATAAAAATGTTTTAATGCATTTTGATTGTGAGAAATGTGTACATGACGGGATGTGCCGATCGTTTTTTTCAATAAAGACGACCGCCGAAATTGTTACTCTCGGGCTACCGGCAATAAATTTCGACAGTGGCACGTTTAGAGGATACTTTTGATGGTTTTATTATTTGTCTTTGTTAGTGTCTTTTAGCGGCATACGATAATAAAAATTTTATTACTTATTGCATACAGCTAATCATAAGGATATATATATATATGTTATAAGGATATAAATTATATGCGGCTTGAACGAGTACAAAAGAAATTGTATATTTTGAATATTTGTTTAAGTACATATGTAAAATATAAGTAAGCACATTATACACAAGTAATATTAAAACTTCAGTCAACATTGATAAGAAGCTTAAATAGTTAAAACCATCAATACTAATTCTGATCAATGAAGTATGTAAAACACTTCAATACTAGATTGTTCGTGAAGTCACTTCGTTATTTCACCGCAGAGCATTTGTTTACACTTTACGTAGTTATATAATTTATTAAAACTCTCCTTCGATTAATTCGGGTTGTTGAGTTATAATTTAACCCTTGTAGCTCTCGACTGTATTAAACACTGATTTGTCTTGTATTTGTATGCATTTGTTTCTGTTTTTATTACAATCACTGATTTGTCACTAAGTTATAATGAAAGAGCAAGAAGATATATTTATTTATTATTCATTACGTTATTTCGCGGACTTTACTCTTGGAACTATACAATTAATCCTATCAAACTCTCCGCTACCCCCTCTACCAGCGGTAGCAACCATCCCGTGTAAAAGCTCAATGCCATGAAGATTGTCACCTTCATGGCCAATATCATAAAATGAAAGTACGTCCGAAAAGGATTAATTGTATTTATTTTAAATCTAACATCACACTGAAGCCCTATAATTTTTATATGATTTGAAAGCTTATATATTAAGGTTTATGTGTGAAAAATTCGCAGCAGTTTTTGGGTGGTGTCACTTTAAATACGAAAATAATAGTTACTAGTTACTAGTACGGGGTATTTTGATGTCGAAGATGCACCACGTTCAAGAAGAACAGTTGAAGCTGATAAAGACCCGAGAAAGGCATTAGTTAATACAAACCAGCCAATAACAATACATGAGATCATATTGAATTTAAATTTATCAAATTCAACAGTTCAAGCCTCCTTGAAAGGTCTGGTAATTTCCCCAAAGCTCAATGTATGGTGTTCATCATAGCGAGAAACCTGTGTCACCGCACTGGCGTCCGCGATTCGCCTCTAAATATTTATGAAAATGATCACTTTTTGAAACAAATTGTCACTAGGAATGTAAACTGGTTGTAAAGAATACATTACATGCAATTGCTCATGGAACAAATAGGAAGTACATGTTCAAAACTATTGCAAAGCCAGAATTTGTCAAAAAAAAATTGATGCGGTACATTTACAGCTTTTCAACTACTCCAGGATAACAAAAGGTTTATGCAAAACATAAATTTCATACTTACAAAGATAACACGGTACATAACATTGATCGGGTATTTTGTCAAAATTATTCTATAGCAGAGCTGGAACTATTTTCTTAATTTGTCCATTATAAAATGGCTCTTTTTTAACTTAATTTACTTTTTTATTGTTTACACTTTTGCCTAAAGCAAAGATTCAGTAGGTCCTTTTTTCCTCACCTACGGGTAAGCTTTTATAGAGGTTATATAAAAAACTATTGAATCTAACCTAAAATTAACAATACATATTATAAAACAATTAAATAACGTAGATTTAAAAATTATATTAAGGTCTCGTGAACTAAACAACAGTGTTCGCATCTAAAAAAAAAACTATTAATAAATGAAAATACGTTTGTTATGGATTTTCGAGCATTGTCGTTTATCTCCTGATAGCAATATTGTAAGAATTAACACATATTGTTATTAAAAAGTTTCTAACTATACTTGTTTTAGAGATTTCAGTGGTCTACACTAAATGTAGTAATAGCAAACTTGCCGCAATGTTAATTTGCTAATTTTATGTTTTTTCGACATTTACAGTCATTCTGAATCGTTTGAACGAAAATTGATTAGGCATGTGCGTATGTTTATATTAGCCTATATATATTTGACCTTTTGCCGATGTTTTATCAAAAACGGTTGCACAAATTTAAAAAAGTTTAGTCCACGTTATACCAACAAATTCTAAATGGATTTAGTTTAACAAATTTGATAAAACTTTTTTTAAAATCATCAAAATCTTTCGCCGACGATTTCACAAAAACGACTGAACCGTTTTCAAGGATTTAAAAGTCTTTCAATGAAATTCGAAAATATTTGAAAATTAAGTAGGGTAGGGCGGGGCTAGTTGAGCATAGGGGTAAGTTGAGCAATCAAAATATCTCGAAAACTATTCACCGTCCGTTTAGGCATTATATGGCGGAAAGATAGAGGTTTGGGAGAAATAAACATCCCGCGATCGCTAGTGCGTTTTGTTTATTTTGAGACCAAAAAGTAAGAAAGTAATTCATCACGAGTTTTCGTCAGGTTTAGTCAAATGTTATTTATTTTTAACCAGGTAAATTTTATTCTTCCATATAATTATAGTACTTTTAATATGCACAGAGATTCTGGGTATAATTATCACGGTTTTTTTATAAACTCACTTTTATTTTGAAATTCCGAGTTGGGGCTAGTTGAGCATAGTTGCTAAACTTGTTCTGTCACTAAGACAATTACCATTAACTTCCAGAAATTAATTATTATTTTTAAGATTTAAGCTAAGTCTATGAGTAATGATATAAAGAAATAATGATTTTAAACAAAAATACTGAATATAATGGTAAAATAATTCCTAAGTTAATTAATTGTTAATTATTCAAAGCAAATTACTATAAGTTTTGTTTCCTCTATCAATAAAGACTATAAATATAGAACTGGTTATTAAAAACTTATTTTATTTCACTAATCGACATTGAACCTATAATTTCATTATACTTTCTTAGTGCTCAACTTGCCCCACCTATGGGGTACATTGAGCATACTTGACTTTTTGCATTCAAACAGCTGTAGCTTTTAAATTTTACTTATTACCAAAAACAAGTATTAACACTTTTGTTATGCGATAAACAACAAATCCAATAAGCCGTATAGCAATTTATTGAGACTTTTCATTGAGGAGCTACATCCGTTTAAGTAAAAATTTGCTCAACTAGCCCCGCCCTACCCTATGTAAATTACAAATATATGATCTTAAAAACAAGTACAGTATGAATGTTTTTAAAGATTTTAAAGTGAAAGGCAAAAGAAAGAAAGTAATCAGCTATCACCTTAATTCTTCAGCTGTAAAAGTATTTTTTTTTCATTAGTAGTTTTTTTTTTAATTAATAAGCATTATTTAATTGTTTTATAAGATTATTTGTTATTTTTGCATAAATTCAACAGTTTTTTCATATAACGTGGATAAAAAAGACCAACTAAACCTTTGTAAACAGTAAGAAAGTAGTAAATAATAAAGTGAATTAAGTTAAATAAAGATATTTTAATTATAATAGATATTATATTAATGAAATAGTCAAATGAAATGTATATATAAAATATGAAAATTGTTTTCATGATCTGTCATACCAGGCACCTCTGTCTGTCTGAGATATGAAAATAATGTATATATATAAATAAATAAAAAAATAATAATTATTATTATTTTGTAAGAGATAAATTAAATTGCTAATTATTCGAACTCTGCTGATAAATATTTCTGACAAAATACCATTTTAAGGTTATATACCATTTATAACCAAAAATTTTGGTTACATACCAAAATACCATTTTAAGGTGATCTTTGTAAGAAATGTTCCCAAGAAACTTGTATTTTGGATTGGTTAAATAATAAAGCTATTATTTAGTTAAATCCTTTTAAAATTAGAAATAATACATTGAATCCGTTTGCAAGCCTATGGAGAAAAAAGAAAAATGACATATATTACAAAAACAGTAATAATAAATAGGAAATTTTACTGACATTATTTTGTTGCTGTTCATTTGATTTTAAATTTACTAATTTCTTCTTTACAAACACATTTATTTTAAATAAATTACACATCCGAAATGATATAAAATACTCTAGAAATAATAACAATTAAATAATATGCCATGAACAATACAAAATTTAACATAAAAGGTACAATCTTCTTTAGCTTGCAGAAACATTTAAAAATACATTCCAGCAGCACTAACCATCCCTCTAGCTCGTCTTAGAATTGAGTCTTTGGATCCATCATAGGGACGATCCTTAGAAGGAATCTCCAACACTGCAGGCAGTAGAGATTTATTACTCTCAATTACCTGACGAATTGAGTCAGCAACATTTTGGGTGATCAGTATTATGTGAATATCATCACGCTTCAAAAATTTCTGGAAGCATTCTTCTATTTCTCTGATAGGAGTATATCTATCAACTACCATAAAATTTGGTTGTCGCTTTTTATTTATTTCGCCTACTCCTCCCAGTAAGAAGCCTACGCAAGTGTCTTCATCTCCAATAACAGAAATTAATTTGTCTGTTACAACTGTATTTATGTGTCTATGTGCCATTTTTCACTTACAAAATTAATTTATTTTCAGAACTATGTTTTTATAAATTACGATTTTCAGATCTTTCCTTGATGTGACATATGACACAACATGGTATATATGATAATTTATCTGCTTAATAACATATGTACATAATTAATATTAGGTCAAATAACTTATAGGTTGTGATGTGCTCTATACAAAGCTGCATAAAATTTGAATTTAAGTTCTGTTTATATTTATTAAAAATATGAATATAAATAAGTGACAGTGTCATAATTTTGATGATCGTATTTAAGTAGCTTTAGCTTTAGAAGATTAAATGCTTATTTTGAATAATAAAGACATTTAATCAACAAGAGTGAAATTAATTAAAATTAGAAAACATGAAAGAAAACTAGGACAACTTGCCTCCGGAGACTCCTGAACCAAGTATCTTGGAAAAACTTATCATACAATCTCATAGCGGCAAATGGACAGTATATGAATAAAAAATGCTCTGAAGACGCATGTATTATTAAAACAGATATAAAATCTTTTTTGCCAACACTTAATATACAAAGAAACTTACATGCAATAATATACCAATACAAAGATATATACAAAGTTATCCCAATTTTTAATATCTAAAACTATATATCTAAATTATTCTCATTAATTTATAATATTATATATTAAAGTGACCATATTTTTTTAGTCAAAACTGGGAAAGCAATTTTTAGTTATTCTAATCCGTGATGAAAGGGGGGAGGGGGTCGTTTTGCTAAATAAAACAGTTCTTTTTAAAATGAATCTATTTTTTAAATTCGATTTGTGCATTTTTAGTAATAAGAATTTCAATATTTAATTTTATGTAATAGGTACACTTTTTTATCTATGATATTATATTACATCTTATATTGTCTGATACATATGTTTTTTCGCTTTTGAGCCATGTATATAATTTCTTCATAATTAACTTGAAACAATTAACACTTGTTCGTACGTTTTCATAATTTCAGTTAATTTTTGTGAAACCGAAAATAAATGTTAATAAAGTATCCATTCATAAGCTTACGCGTCGTATTGTAATATAATACATATTATTTATAGATATTCGATGAGTAGTTGTATTTTTATTATCAAATGCTTTTTCAAAACCCAAGACAATCCGGGACACAAGATCCAAATCCGGGACAAATATTGCTTTTAGAAAAGTTCGAGACAAAGGGTGGAAATGCGGGACCGTCCCGGCTAAACAGGGTCACCTTATGTATATGTATTATAAGGTTAATGATTTTTAGACTATATTTATAGTAATTGTTGTATGTTAGTGGGACACTGAATTTTCTCTTTATGAATCTTCTCATAAATTTTTTTTCTTGCCAGCTGATGCCGAAGGCTTTCAAAAAACATGTGATTCAGAGACTCTTTTTCGTGGCCAAGAAATATTATCTCTATGAAAGAAAGCAGTCTCTTTGGGGATGGATTCAGCGTATCCGGGCAAGATTTGCCAAGCCTGCTTTTGTAATCTACCCGAAAACTATCGAGATAGTGGGTAGTAAATGTTTGCTCATGTAAATAGTTGTGTAATAGTAAATAATATGTAGTATTGAGAAATGAACAGATATCCCAAAATAAATAGTATTTTACTTACTTTTTACAGTGAATAAATAATCAATTGCATGCTACTAATTAAACTTATTCCAATTCTGTTCAAATTGACTGTTTCACGATTTATTACTCGTGTCGTATTGACTTCCCGTAGGGTAAGTTAAAGTAATCGCAAAAAAAATGGAATTTTTTATATATCTTTACGTTTTAAAGGTTTTTGAACATTTTGGCATACTTTGTAAAAATCTATGTATGTGTGTGTGTATGTGCGTGATCAGAAACATATTTTTGGTAGAATTTCGATTACTATAACTAACCCTACGGGATGTTAAGAAGTTCAAAACTTCCAAAATATTTAAAGAAATAAAAACAATCAAACTTTTCATAATCCTTTTTTTTCAAACATTTCAAAGTTCCGAAAAATTTAATTTTTTCAAATTTAAAAAAAAATTTGAGTTTAAAAATTTGAACAAATCAATTTTAGGTACGGAAAGTTCCAACAATTTGGAACTTTTCAATTGACCCTCCCTACGGGAAGTTAATATTGATATAAAACAAGGCATAGTAGGATGTAAAAGAAAACGAATTTATTTTTTGTGTTCACAAGAGACAAATCGTGTGCCAGACACACTCCTTTAATCCTATCTCTCTAGGCGCTGGCGTTGTATTGTAAAACTTTCAATACGATCTTCTTGCGTGTGATCACAATCGACCGTATTACATTTCGCTTCACAACTGACATGCGACAATAGATTGTGATGGAAACCTTTCAGCTACCAAAATATTATTATATATTTTAAATAATTGCACAATAGTTTTTTTTACTTAATATTTAATGATTTGAAATTAGTTTTACCAATGCATATGCCACTTTGCATTGGTCATACACTAACACTTAATTAATACGATTTTATCACATACTTGGGGCAAAATGTGCCAAAAACGGTAACTCAGTTTTTAAGAGAACAGAGCGCCCGATTTGAATAATTCAAAAAACATTTTACTGGTATTAACAAGATGAAAAACTGATGAAAATTTCATGAAAGCAGGTGTAGCGGTTTCGGAGATCTAGTAAAAAAATTAAAAAAAGCCATTTGGCGGTCAAAAATGATCATTAGATATATGCACATCTAATTATCAGATATTTTATAGAGATTTTAACAATAAATATACATTTTGTTCACATTCTTATACGTTCTGTAGCAATGTTTATCCGTTAGACGGCGACGGGGCGCTTACGCGCTTCGATATTTCGTCTTTATGCAGTTAAAGCAGTACGATTGCTTTGAAAAAAAGTTCAGAACTTCCAAAATATATCAAAATAAATTTTTCTTCAAAAAGTCTTTTTTTTCAAAAAAAGTAAATTTTTGTCAAAAGTTTATAGTTTCTCAAAAATCTAACTTTTTCAGAGTAATTTTTTTAAAAAAATACTAATCTTTTCAAAAAAATAATTTTTGGTACGGAAAGTTCCAGCAATTTGCCCTAAGGCACGTTACCATGCGCCTCACTAGTTTTGTTTAAATCTAATCAAGATCATGTTTCTTAACAGATGTTCTGTAGAAGGAACGTACTTAGTTCCGAAACGTCGACAATAAATAAAAAAATTGTTTTAAAAAACTTTTTTGGTTTTTTATTTTGAGTCTTTGTTTGAAGCTCGACAACATATATACATTTATTTTTTTTCAGAAAGTTTTAGAAGTTTATTTTTCCAAAGCATTATGTTTTCTTGACGTTTTGAACCATTCTGAACCATATTAGGAAAAGGTATGTGTGTATGTGTGAGCCTTGATCTTTCGTTAATGCTTCTTCAAAAAACGGCTGGACCAATTTTAAAAATGTAAAAGCCTTTCGATGTAACTCTAAGAACTAACGTTTGTCAGTTTTGCACGACGATTGACCGTTTCTCTGTAAGCCGTTTCTTTGTAAATAGCAGAAAAGTGAAAAAAAATTCGTCCAAGTTTTAGACCGCAAATCTGAATCGATTTTAAAAATTCAAAAACTATTCGAAGGATATTATTTGAAAATCATGCTGATTAGTTTTGCGCAAAGATCGGATAGGACGTAATTAATTGTTAAAAAAATAAACAAATTGTACGTGGTCTTAATGAAAATACTAAAAATATTGTAAATATTATAGTCCTACAAAAAGTATTGAAATTTGTATGTTTTTTTAATAATGTGCTATAAACAATTTTGTTCAAAGTTTAATAATCTGTAACTGATTTTCTGCAATAGATTATTATGATCTCAAGCAACCCTGTATACTTGTAAATCACTAAATCACATTAACACATCGATTTCTTATTCTTGTATCTATTGTTTGCACGTGTCGGGAAGTTAATGTAATATGCCTTAAGGGAAGTTTATGTAATATGCAATTTGCATTAAGATTCTCTATTTTAAAACCGTATGAGTTATTATTGCATGAATTTTAATTCGTCGATTCTACAAATAGTTTACATGTAGTAACGATTTTTTTTTTTTTTGAAAATTTGCTTTATTTGACTTAAATACATACATTGATTTTTACATAAAGATACAAATTGTATACACCTATTCTGTGAATATCATTATACTATCATAATATAATATTGTTTGCATATATATATTTGTTTCAATTGACTTATATAAGTATGAAAAGAGTTATTAAAAACATACTGCCATCTTATTATGTAGTAACGATGATTTATTTGATACAGTATATAAGATAGGGATGTCTCATCTACTATAGACCTATCCGTTAAATGTTATTAAAGCTTCATGTATAGCTCACGTATAATATCATAACTTGTGAAGGAGCACGATGTGAGGTCTGCGTTCAAATTTCGCAGCATCACATCAAATTATAGCCATTAGAGACGTGACGGCGCGGCACCGCGATCAATTTATATAACAGGTTGACAATCCCCGCTTGAGCGGGCGCTACAGGCCGCCTGTAGGCCGTGGGAAAAGCTCGGGAGCGCGCGCTCCGTTCGCCGATTCGTCGTCTGACTTTTTTCTTCGTCTTTTCTTTAAGAAGCGAGACGATCGAGAAGTTTTTCACGCGTCGTAGCCCCCTTTGGTTAGAACCGTTTCTCAAAGTGGGAGCGGTAATTAGATTATCTCTATTGCTTTGAGGAATTATATATGGTAATGCACAAGCGTACAACTTTTGAACTCACTTGGCATACTGTTCCTTAACACAAAATAAATGTATCGTAAATTATTTTTATAATCTATGGAATATTTGTTAAATTCTCTTTTTTAAACATTGAACTAAACTAGTGGTGCATGGTACCGTGCCTTAAGGCAAATTGCTGGAAGTTCCCGTACCATTTTAATTCTTTTTTAAAGTTGTACAATTCTTTGAGAACATTGAACAAATTAGATTTTTGAGAATTTTGAGATTTTTGAAAGAATGGACCATTTTTGAAAAAAATGTTTTTTTT